ATGGAATAGAATAAAATCTCTCCAAAAAAAAAAAAAAAGAGAGAGAGAGAGAAAGAGAGAGAACTTCAGGTTTCCATCTTGGATCGTTGCTGTTAGCGTGGACATATACGGTATTAGCGACCTCCTCTTACTGGACCAAAGCCTATGCAGAGAGGCCAGGAATCATAGCTGAGGCTTTCTGTTCACTTTGATGGAAATGCCAGTGGATCAAGGGGAGTGACACCATTCCAGGTGGAAGGAAATGTCGCCACTAAGACGAGACTTTACATTGGAAGCTACAGTGACTCTGAGACCCAGGTGTCTGTGGTGACACACCTGACTTCAAATGTCAGCTCCACCTCTCAGCAGATGGGTGACCTTAGGCAGAGCATTTCGCATGTCTGAGGCTCAGGCTCCCTGCAGAGCCTGGCGAGAACAGTAACGAAGCTATTCCCACGCACGGCTGTCTAACCGTTCAACAGATCTTATCCCGTACAAAGCTTTCCGCGGACAGGGCCAAAACTAATGTCTTTCTTTAATTTATGCTTCCCAGATGACAAAAACAAAATTTACTCAAGCTTTCTAAATGACGTCTTTTGGGGGGATCCAACAAAAGATTAGGAAACAACAAAAAGTTATCCCATAAATACGCACAACAAGCATATTAATGAACTTCTTGAGAAGATAATTACCTGCTGGCTGGATCCACAGAGTCGTTTGATCTGTCTGCTTTTTTGTGATGAAAGTCCAGGTTCCATCTGGATCTTGAATCCATTCAGCTGCCTCACAGAACAGCTGGCCTTGATCTGAGGGCTGCAGGCTCCCTACGGTCAGCCTGAAGGTAGAGGCCCTGAGCTTGTCGAGCCTCACATCACCAGCTGCAAACCTCTCTGTATACGAAGGCCCAGGGATCAACATAAAATCTTTGGAGAGGGAAATAATCTTGATGCCTTGACTTCTTTCTCCATCCCGCATCAGGTACCAGGTGACAGACAGGTGGGTATGTTGAGCTGTGGCTTTGGCAGCCTCACAGGTAAGTTCTAATGGCTCACCTTCCTCCTTATGGAGAGTCTGGGAATTCATGGTGGCAGAGAGGGTATCTGGAATAACTGGAAGCAAAGGAATGGAGATAATTGACTGGCTCAGTACCTGTCAGACTAGTCTCCTTAGATGAAGATGGCGCCTGGACCCACCATCTGTAAAGCACATACTTTGAGTTGCTTTTCCACTAGCCATATGCTTTCCCCACTGCCAATGGGAACACTAGCATCTATGTACGTACAGTCTATGGAATTTAGCAAAGCTGATGGCTCACTGATGTACTGACCCTGACTTTCCATTTTTAGTGTAGACTTTAACCAATATAGCTACTCAGACACAGAGTATTTAAAGGGGAAACGCGCTGGGAGCCAGAAGACCTAGTTTCTGATCCTAAATCTGTCCCTATTTGACTACATGAACTGGAGCAAGTCGCTTCACTTCCTTGGGCCTTAACCTGCTCCTGCATAAAACAGAGTTCTGAAATAACCCGTTATAATCTATCATTCAGAGCCAAAATGCAACCCTGACATAAGTTTTGATAACCATCCGACTCCCTTACCACTCTCTCCTTACTCAAAGGAAATCACACAGCCTCGGCTTATGTGAAAGCGACACTTAATCGATGAATATTTATTTAGCAGCTACTCAGAGCTAGCCGCTGTGCGAGGGGCTGAGATAAACGTTCTCTTCTCCTGGAACTCAGAGTGAAGAAGGAGCCAATTACCACTTAAGCTGGTATGAATAGAGCATCGAGAGGAAACCAAGGTGAGATTACTGCCAGAAACAGTCAGGACAGGGCTCACAGGAGAGGTAATAGGTAAACTGGGTCCTGAAGTGAACCTCTGCTTGGCTGAAAAGGGGTGCTGAGATGTCCCGGGCAAAGGGACAAAATGGGAATTGCAAGAACGATGACTGTCCCCCTTTCGGTAAATACGCTGGAGAACAGTAGTTTGAAAATAAGTTAATGACTTATAACACCAGCTCTCTTCTCAAGTTAATGTTCTGCCTCCACGAGGAGACCTAACATGGGGAGATCGCCCAAAGCTTTGTCTGATGCTCTTATCAAGCTAAGATTAGCTATGGGCGAGGCTTTGAGAAGACCACACATGATCTCAGTCTCCGGGGCAAAATTGATTGGAAAAATGAATTGAGAGTTTTGGAGAATATGAGATACCTATTTGTGACAAATCTCCAAAATATCCAGAGGGGTACCTGGGCTCTTTCATCAAAGCACACAGCACAATATAAAGCCGTGTCACAATACAGGACATTGTCATAATGGAGGCTCTGGCTTCTCTGGCTGGCTAGCAGAGACGGGCAATCAGCTCACCAATCAGGGTAGTCTTTGCACTGTAATTCCCGTAGTATCTTCCATCAGTGTTCGGTGTGTGACACTCATACTCGCCAGAATCCTTCATCTGGAGCTTTGAGATGTGCAAAAAGACTGCGCTGCCCTGGACCCTCTCCACGTAGATTTCTCTGCTTCGTACCCGCGGCGCATACATCACGTAAGAGAACGTGGCATCTTTAGTGCTGATGATCTGGACTTCTTGGGTCGGGCCTGTCAGCAGGTAAACAGACCACTGGAAATGCTGCTCGGAAGGTCCCTTGTGGCCAGTTACATTGCAGCCAATGCTGACAGGGTAACCTTCAGCTCTAAACAGTGGTCCTTTCTGAACTGTGACTTCTCTCTGGCCAATGCTGAGCTTAGCTTGCAAGGAGGAGAAAGAAAGGGGGGAATAAAAATAGATTAGTGCTCTATTTCCCAAAGTGCCGCCTTATGTAGCTCCCTGTATTACAATTCGACTAAATGAGATCTCAGGTTATTAGCTATAATCAACTCAAACGTTCAACACCTTCAGGCTGAGGAGCAGTGGAATGGCTTGATGAGTTAATTATTCTTTTATAACTTTAACTTCCATCGTGATCTCTAGTCTCTTGAAAACAAGTTTAGTTTCATCAGAGTATCATAGTCCCTACCATGAAGCTTACGTGCTTATCGAAGTGAACTGATTTTAAAGTAAATACAATGTATGATAATTCACTTTACATTATTTTATGGAGAAATTCAGCATATACTTCCCAAGCCTCAAATTCCCGGGCACCTGTTCCCGTAGAAGTGGCTGCTTCTACGTAGAAGCAAAGTCAACAGCGCTGCCCATGGTCCTATGCTTTTTCTTGCTGGTTGGTTGAAACCATCTGAAGCACCTGGCCAGGTCTAATGCAAGACTAGTTAAAATTAGCACCGGGAGAGACAGCAGCACTTCATTTCTATACTGCGGAGGTTTTTTTTGTTTTGTAATTTTTTTTTTTTTTTATAGAGCCACTACAGCTTTATTGAAAAGCATCACAAAGATGGCTGTCAAGCCAGTAGGATCTGGAATCAGAATTTATTTTAGTTCTTCTCTTACCCCAAAATTTCAGTTGAGACACTATGGAATGTTTCCTATTGGGACAAATCTCAGGTATTAGATTTAAAGGAAAAAAAAAAATTATTAAATGGTAACATTCCCTCTGCCGTCCACACTTTCAAAACCGAGCATTTTTCAGAAATGAAAACGTATGCGTTGATTTATTATGTTAATATTAAAAGCTAGTTTATTTTGCGTTACGGAAAGAACAATGAAAAAATGACAGAGATGCCACAAAGGTGAACTCAATCTTTCACTGGGGACTGAGGTCCAGTGCAAAGGGAAGACGGGGCAGAAAGACATCTGCAGAATCCGCCAGGGAATGACTACTGGTGTGAAGGGGTTAACAGAATGACATTCAGAAGAAGGTGTGAAGATGCAGCACGGAATTTTGTGACTCTCCAGGACAGAGAGCAAAAAAAGGCAGGAGTGAAAAAAAAGTGAGAGAAAGGGGAAATGACATTATAGAGACCGTGGTGAGTCCGAGTAGAGGAATTCTGGAATGCGGACGATTCTCATGGAAGGGAGCCGACAAAGAAAAATGGGCAGAAAGGGTAAGTAGCTACCTGATGCAGACAATTAAAATGGCATGTGCATGTTCAATGCCAAACTGAAAATCAACCAACCAACTAATCAACCAACCACACACATTTCTAGTAATAATTTAAAACATACTAATTTATTCACAAATCCCAATTAATATATTTGAATTATGCCTAAGAATAGAAGTTAGACCATCTAAGAAAAATTGTAATTATTACTTACCAAATAATTATACTATAGAGGAAGTTCAAAACATTTTCAGCAATGCCAGCCAGGCTTATACATAGACCTTTGAGAAAAGCATGTACTGTCTGCCAGGCTACGTGTGAGAGACTCTCCATAGCATGCTGTTCATCATGGCCCCACACTAGAGAGCACCCATATGTCCATCAACAGGAGGGCAGACGAACTCTGGTCCACTCATAAAATGGAATATTATACAGAAATGAAAGTGGATGAAACGTGAGTTGAAATTCTACGGATGGCCGTGTTTAACAGAAGATGCAAAATATTTTTTAATCTTTTTGACTATTCACAGAACGATTCTACTCTTTATAGTTGTAAAACAGACAAAACTATACTGTGTTGCTTAGTGATGCAAACACGGGGGTAAAGACATTAAAAAAAGAGAAAAGCTAGGAGTGGTGATCACGCCCATCAGAAAAGTGACTGCACGTGAGAGAGGGTTGTGTTTTGCATGGGACGCATGGCAGGTGGATGGGTGCTGTAGGGTCCTGGCAATGTTCTCCTTGACCTGGGTGGCTTTTACCTTTTATTTATTGGTCAAATTGTGCATTAATTTTTATTAACTTTTCTTAGGTGCTATATTTCATGATACAAATGTGGTTTCTGAGGTACCACCAACCTGTTTATATCAGGGCATATTTCCATGTTATTTTTGGTAGCAAAGCAATACTTCAACATTTTCCATAACTTTTCAGAGAGATGGGTACCACCTTTGAAACGTTTTACTGTGAAAACTAGCACTTCATTTTTTATTTTTTATTTTTTGGCCAATTCAATAAATATTAATTCAATCACTTATGGTATTTCTGATGCGTCAGGAACCAAGATACAAAGATGGGTTTGGGATAAGCTCTGACTTCTAGATTTTATAATTCATTCAAAAAGGAATGATAGTTCTCCTAGAGAGATACGATAAAAATGCTCTGAGGAATTTGAATGAAGGGGAGATTCCATTCCTGAGGGGAGGGAAACGGGTCAGGTTTATGAGAGAGAGAGTATTAGAAATGAACCTGGAAGAACTGGGAAGATTATGACAATTTAAGTGGGGAGACAGGGCCTCTGTGGTGAGGGGACTTCGTGACAAGACTGTACGAATAGGAATCTAAAGACTTGTTCAGAAAATAGGGAGTAATCAGTTCGATTAAAGGAAGAGTGGCATGAAGATTAATAGGAGAAGGTAAGACTGAATAGGAAATGTGGGTCCGGAGCAGGAAGGACTTGACTATCATGATTAAATGTTTGAACTTGATTGATTAGGCAATGGGGAATCCGCTAAGAATGTTTGAAAAGACTTAGGAAAATTAACCTGACAATTGTGTGTAGAATGATGAAAATTAGAAATAGACATCAGGTAACCATAGTAGCCCAGGAGAGAAGTGATGAAGGCAACAGGAATGGAAAGAAAGGAAGGACGGTTTTATCACCCTGCGGTGATAAAATCTAGAGTTTTTCAGTGTGTTGGATGCTTGGAGGTAGTGGAGGTGGATGGAGGGATGGAAGGCAGTAAGAAATCAGAGATGACACCCAGGTTTTATGAGGGCGACTGGGAGAATAACGGTACTATTAACAGAAATAAAGATACCAGGAAGAGTCACCGTTATGAGGAAGAAGAGAAAGCATTTAATTTTGGAAATACTAAATTTGAGTGTCATGGAATTAACAGGAAGGATACCCAACGAATTAACTGGACACAATATTTAAGTACATACATTTGTGCTTTCAAGTCTTCATCCTAATCTAATTCTTTCAAGAACTCTGTGATATTTGCGTGTTCAGCAATGTCAAAACTTATAAATGGTTGAGCCAGACTGGAACTTAGATCTGCAAATGCCAGTCTCTGGCTGTCTTTGTCCATTGTTTCTCATGGCTTCCTGTAAACACTCCAGATTACTAGAAAAATCTCTCCATTTAGGGGATGGGATGAGGAACAAAACCTAGAGAGGGAAGAGTTGGGGAGGCGAGAGGGCAGCCAGGTCACGGTGTCTTGGAAACCAAAGGAGGTAAGACGTTGCCGGAAGAAAGAGCTCGCCGGCCTGCGAAATGCTGAGAGGCTGAGGATTCTAAAGGCAGAGGCGAGTCCTCTGAGTTTGATGACGAGGATGTCAGTGGAGACCTCTGTGGAAGAGATTTCAATCAAGCCCAAGCAGCAGATTTCAAGGGTCAGAAGCCACTGCAGGAAACGTGAACGACTTCTTTTTTGGAAAGAGATAAATAAGGCGGCAGCTAGAAAGAGTTTGTGGGTAGAGAGAAGCAGGGAGGGCCGGGGCGGCCGCAGGTGCCACTGCATGTTTGCAGGCAGAGAAGCAGTAGAGGGCAGAGATGAACGAAGCCAGAGAGAGGGTGACAAATGGAGTAAGGTCCTAGTAGAGGCTTGAGGTCAAGAACATGTTTGGGATGGTCCTGCTTTCTCAGAAAAGCCAAAGAGATTGTGTAGGTGTTTATAGGTATTTTTGAGGTGAGAAAGAATGACGGACAGAGGTCAATTCAAATGGCTATGCATTCAGATCATATACTGAAGCGTCTTACTATAAATATATCCTCTGTGGGATGTGTTGCACAAATCTCTCCTCCTCTTAAAGAGCGAAAATATCTCGAGGGACTGTCCCGTCACGTTCCCCTTTAATGGACGGAGGCTCAGATACCTTTGCACAGCAGCTCAAATTTCCGTTGACTGCTGGGCACACAGCTCAACATGAACGTACTGCACTGGAGTCACCCTTTGGAAAAACGAAGAATTCCCTGACGGTATTGGCTTTTTTCAAAATTATAACTGAGATTGCCAAGTTTGCCGTTTCCGTATTATTTGAATGGAAGCTATTAAGTTGAACCATATAAAATGGCCCATATTTGGACCTTTTTGCTACACAAAAACAGCCACTTCAAATAGTCCACCTAATGCCAAAGCTACCAGAGAACATCAAACACAAGCAACTTCTTTCTTTGCACATGCAAGAAACCTATATGCTCAGAGGCTGAGACAGCTTCCGTCCATAAGTTAGTGTGATTTTTTTTTTTCATGAATACAGTCTTAGTAAGACAAACGATAGCCCCTCCTCTGCAGGCTCCCCTGGTAATGGCTTTTATGTGTAAGGCAACTAGTCAGGGTGAGGGGTGACAGATCACAGACGTGCTAGAGCTAAATCCAAGAGCTCATTCACCCAGGGCCTTAACCTCATCTAGCACCGTATTCTAATAGGGTTAACCAGTCTTTCTATCTATTTAAGAAATAAAGTAGAATAAAGTTTATATTTGCTAAATAATGCAATTGACTGATTGATCATCATTGAATTCATTACTTTTGTTTTTCTCTTTCATATTTATGACGACAAATAGCAAAGTTTTTTCAAGTTACTTCTTGATTTATGTGTTCGTTACATAAAAACTGTGGTTCTGTACAAAATCAGGGCCGAGGATGAGTCAGAATGTAGAAGAAAGAAATAGTTAACCCAGTTTAAGTTAATTGTTTCAGTGAGTCAGGGGAAAGCTTCTAGCTTCTCCTTTTTGAACCTGGTTACCACTTTCTGCACCCCCAAGGCCTTCCAGCCTGCTCACCAGACAGAGGGAAGCAGACAGACAGACACACAGAGAGCGTTTGTCCTTGAGAATCACACTCAGACAACTAAACTGGACGAACAGGAACACACCAGCCAACATCCTGCAAAGGATCCCACGAGTCCACCTAGTCAGCAACGCCTGCCAGGCCAGCCTAGTGGGCACTGATCACCCAGCACTGGGCCTAGAAATTTCCCCGCAGGTCACCTCTCGCCCTGTCAGGCCCCAGATCTGACCCTTACCTCGCACTATCCAATGTCTCTTGAGGCGTGAGCCCAGTTCAGCTCAAGCCTCTGTTTAGTAAGCACCCCCTGGCTGATGCTGCGTCCTTACGATGCTTTAGCCACAGCCCTGACCACACTGACCATAAATTCTTCCAGTTCTCCTATCATTCCAGTCATTCAAGTCCCTGCACTGACTCAATCCAGTCCCAAAGGCAGGAGTTCTTAATCGGGGTCCATGTACGGGATGAAAGGGTTCATGAACTTGGGTGAAAAAGAAAAACCCTACATCTTTATTTGCACTTCATGGAAACTTTATATTTCCTTCAGTAATGAATGTAGACAACAAGCCATAGATATTTGCATATCACATTGTGGTTGTTGCAGGTTTCTTGAAATACTGTTCAGATTCATCACTGCTTTGAAGTTTGGTAGGTAACAGACCGCCTCTAAATCTTATTATGTAATGCGTAAAGAAGCAAATGAATGACTACATCACAATCCATTGAAACATATTTTGATAATTGCATTTCAACGAGATTGTATAATCCTATACATTCTATTTTATGCATTTAAGAAATTATTCTGAATAGGAGTCCAGAGTCTTTACCAGATGCTAAAGGAACCCACAGTGCACAAAAGTACCTGCTACCTACTCTGCCTACCTGGAACTACTTCGCCCCTGCCCAGTTCATCCGTTCTCTCATTCACCTCCAATTTCCCTTTCCTCCACCCGGTTTCAGCATGTTTACATGCCACTAGGGCCCCTCCATGTGCCCTTCAGCAGAGCCAAGTGAATCCTCCTGGCCCCTTCTCAGTCCCTTAGTAGTCAACTCCCACTTCAGCTCACAGGTGAAATCTAGAATCTTCTTTAAGCCTGGCCTAAAACTACAAAGTACTCTAATAACCTTTCTTTCCATCCAGCCATATCCCCAAGGCATGCTAGCTAGTCGAGCTCTGACATTAGGCAAACCTTAAGGTCACCTCTCACCTGGGGAGCCAAACCTCGTATTACCTCCAGGGACAAGCTAGCTCAGAAAGAAAAGATAAAGCCAGAACCAGCAAAACTGGCAGATCTAGTAACATAGACAAAACTAAAAAATTATTGCCAACACCAGAGATGTGTGGCATTGTTTTTCTTGTAGAGACCAAATTGACCTGTTCTATCACCCAGCAGCCTCCAGTTGCCTAGCTCCTGTGACAAGAGAAACATGCAGAATTATGACACTTACTCAGAAAGAGAAAGAAAGATGCCACACGTGGGATGCGTGCCATTTGGACCAGCACAGACCTTTCCTGGTGGTGTCACTGAAGCTGTTCAGAGGCCGAGTGACAAATGCTGTGCTCTCACTACGAAAGTAAAGAGGAAGCAATGGTGTGGTTTTCAGCCCACTGAGAAACAGAAATGGCTTTGCAACAAACAAAACTGGTTGCATTATGGTCCTTTGCTAATCACTCAAATTTGTGTGTGCAAAAGTTATCTTCATGGGTAAGTATATATTTACACAGATAAAAATAAGAAAATACAGGCCTCATCCTGGCTAAATATGCATCAGTAGGTAATCACAAGGGAATTTAAGAAAACTGAATAAATAAAAATAAAAAAGTTCTCTTCTTAGCCCTTACCCCTCCTTCCATCCCGGGGAAATTCCTGAGAAATGAGAGAAGCATCTCTGGAAAACGTGAACCCAGGGAATCATGAGGTGATGGTGACGATGGCAGGTTCTCGAGTCAGGCTGCCTGCGTTTGCATGTAGATTTTATTTTTAATGGCTGTGTGATCTTAGAAAAGTTAATTAACCTTTTCTAACCTTCATCTATAAAACGAAGATACTAATAGTGTGTATCTCATAAGATTGCTGTGAGAATTGAATGAACTGATTTACTTAAAACTCTTAGAACAATACCTGGGACATGGTGAGTGCTCAGTGAATGTCACCGACCGTCACGTGACATTTAAGGGTATCTTCATCTGCTCGGTGTGGGCCTGGGCACCAGAGATGGCGGGGGACTGAGTGGCTAAGCTGGCACTGAACTCTGGCCAACTTAATCCCACTGTAGTCCTAGAAGACCAGACCAGACAACGGATGAGCTCGCCGAGGACGAGTTCCTTAGGTCAGGCCTATGTTTCGATGGGTCAGTGACCAACTGGTCGGCTTCAGGCCACATTTACAGGTGGATCTCCAGTTCTACCCATCCATCCAACAATATTTTAGTCCTTCTAGGATCTAGGTGCTGTGGTAGGTTGTGCACATATGAAAATATTAACAACCCAGCTTTTGTTCTCAAGAAACTTAACCTGAATCAGACCATCACCACACAACTCCGAAAGCACAACGATCAATGAGGCGCCCAAAACAAGTAGGGGAGGTTGGTGGGTGGGAGGGTTGGTCAGGATGGGCTGGGCCAGGCCCAAGGAAACCACCAGGGAGGAAGAGGGCTAGGTACAGCTGGGCAAAAATGGTTTAGCATGAAAAATGAATGCCAAGCCAGCTGTGTCTTCCTGCTAGAGTCAAGTTTGAGGCAAGAGTGATGGGATAAGGGCCTGGCGAGGCAGGCAGGTCTTGCTGGGCCATGCGAGCCAGGCTGAAAAACTTGGCTTTTACCCCATTAAAAAAATAAAAATAAAAGGCGCTATTGAGAGTTTTTCTTAAGCAGGAGAGTGCTCTGGTCAGATTTTCCTTTTACATTGAATTCCATGTTTGGAATTTGCTAATTGGTTGAGAGATGAGGCAGGTGAGTTATAAGCTTTTTTCCAGTTTTCTGTATGTGCAATGATGAGGGCCTACATTAGGGTATGTAACATAAAGACAGAGCAGAGGTAGATGAAGAAGTATTTACATATTTAATGGAGCACATACTATAGGGTGTATGCAGAATTACGGTGTAGCCTCCGATCATGGGAACTTCTGTTTGAGATGGTGGAGCAGGTGGAGGTGAGTGAGAAAGGACTAAGAGCATGAGTGGCTGTCACGCAAGGTAAATTAGGTGAAGTCCCCCAGGAGAAACACAGGTAAAGAGATATGGACATTTGAAGGAGAGAAAGAGCATGAGGCTCGGGTGGTAAAAGAAGGGCAAGTTGGGCCCTGCAACTCCAGGAACTTGGACTCTAGTTTAATAAATGACTGTACTTAAGAAATAGTAGCCACATAAAGCTGTATGTGTTGGGTAACCAATTTATGGTTTAGGCAAGAAATAGCCTATGAGTTAACAGGCTGAAGAGACCACTGCAGGCAGGGGCACCATAAGTCATTCAGAAAAGGCTGGTTTTAAGTAGGTCCTTAGAGATTCGGTATGATTCAAACAGACAGAGAAGAGACAGAAGGACATATCCTAGTAGAGAGAAATGAATTACAAAGATACGGAGGTGGGGATGAGCAGGTTATATTTAGGAAACACTTAAAGAGTAGTTTATCTAGACTGGAGCTTTCAAACTACCTCTCTAGGCTGTTAACTATAATATGTGTGGCTTGAAGTATTAGAATTTATTTACCATTTCGGTTGAAGCCACCGAAATTTTAAGCAAATGCACTGTTATCAGTTAGTTATTGCTGTGTAACAAACAATCACAAAACTTTGGTGGAATGCAACAGCAAACATTTACTTTTGTTCACAGCCCATGCTGGCATGGTCTAGGATGACCTTGGCTTGGGTCCTTTTCACGTCCATCTGGTAGGGTAGTCTGGCCACATTTTCATGGTGATGCCAGGGGTTCAAAAGAATTAGGGAAAACGCATCAGTACTTTTTAAAAGCTTCTACTTGCATCATGACTTCTAACATTTCGCAGATCAAAGCAAGTCACATGGCCAAGTCCAAATACAGGAGATGGGTTCACAGACTCCATCTCTTTAGTGACGGGAACTGCAAAGTGACAGGGCAGAAGGAGAGGTCAAGAACCGGGGCCATCGATGCAATCAATCTGCTAAGTGCACTGAAAAGAAAATTATTTTAGAAATCACCGTTGATCACAGAGGCGACCATTGCCAACAACATAGAGTATCCCGTATTCCTGAAATACACATAACCAAGTAAACGCTATGTAACGTCTCATTCCTGGCTGTTGCCAAAAAATTTTTTTCTGTTTCCATTTGAGTGGCTCCATTTCTGCCAGAATTTAACATTCACAGGATGATGTCACTTCTTTTCCGCAGGGGGAAAAAGAAGCTTTCTGTTGTCAAAAAAAAAAAAAAGAAGAAGAAGAAGAAGAAGAAAGAAAAACTAGAGTCAGCGAGAGACAGTTACTCTATTACCTTGGGGATCACTGCATTGCAATTTTATCAGTTGAAAGGAATGTAAAAATGTAGCCTTGATTTGGATGGGCCAGTTCTGGACAAAGTAACACAGGAATGTACTAAAGAAAGAAAAAAAAATCTTGTTTCAGGTCCTGCAAGATTAATGAAAAAATAAGGTTTCTTCCCTTCCTAATTTAAAATGCCCAAATATTAATTCCACAGAATCACAGAAAATACAGCTATTGTGACCTCCTATCCTAAGCATTCAGGCACAAGAAATATTTAAACAGGGACTTTTTACATGCCAGGCTCTGTGTGAGGCATTTTCACATATATAGTTTAATAGAATAAATCACATCACCGAGTGATAAGTATTACCAATCCCATTTCACAGATGAGAAAATTGAGGCACAGAGGAATTAACTAACAAGACAACTGTATGGCTAGGAAATAGTGGCATTCTTTTTTTTCTAATTAAAATTATTGGGGTGACATTGATTAATAAAATCAAATAAGTTTCAGGTATATAATTTAACAATGTCGTATATACACACATACCTACATACATATATAGCATTGTGTGTTCACCACCCAAAGTTAGATTTTCCTTCCATCACCAAGTATTTGACCCCTTTGACCCCTGTCTACCTCCCCGCTCCCAAATGGCTGCATTCTAAGGCTGCCTGCTGACTTTTGGTTCGGTGTTCTTTCTGTCTTACCTTCTAGCTTGTCACTCCTAATGTTCA